CCCCCCCCCCCCCCCCCCCCTCCCCCGCATTTCGTGTACCTTAGTCTATATTTTCTTTCAGTCTGATTGTGGATAAACTACTGGTGGGGAAGAACCAAAATAAACAATTATCTTTTTACGCTTTTTGTCCATTCTGTCCTGCAAACAGGAATCATCTTTATCTGACATCGTAAAGACACAGTCAGCAGTTTTGTCTCCGTTTAACACGGGTATAATGCACACACGCAATTTATGGTGGTTGGTTATAGCGAATCTGTATTTGGTTGACGCGTCATCGACCGTGGTTTCACATTTGTATCCCAGATTGTCTCTTAAATTCACCCGAGAGGAAGGGACGGAATCCATATTAGATTGTTCCAGACGTCCTTATTTCATTTAGTGGATTCATAGGCTGGATTCAAGGCGGACATCATGCAGGACTTTAGTTTTGACACATTTGAGTGACTTCCATGCTCCTTATTACACCAGTGAAATTGTCCAGGCAGATGAAAATGAAGCACCCACCACTCTCTCTCATCCTGTTTGGGAACTCGAAACGTGCTTTATCCACAACCTGCTTCTGCAAGTCTTGTTTATTTTGTAAAAGCTCTAATGAGTATTTTAGTCATAGCAGTCACGTCATCAGCTTTGAGCACAGCCCACACGTTTGTTGTGATTGTACAACTTTAGTCAACTATTGAGAAGTGATGAAATACGGCGGTAAGCCTCAGTAACTGTGGTTCCAGCGACCAACAAGCTGTTCGTTGGTTGGTAAACGGGATTTCAAAATGTCACTTTATCACCAGCTCCTCCTCCGATACATTTGTGCATAAATGTAGGATTTAGTGTGTGAGGAGGCTGAGCTGTACCGCTGAGTCTTCATACTATCCCAGTGGACAGTTTAGTCTTCCACTTCATTTTGCCAAAAACAGTGAGATTGATACAAAAATCTTAAATGCTCCAGATTTGAAAAACTAAAGCCCCTTTACACTTTGATTTTAACTCAATTTTTCCAATTACAATGATGCAATCCCGCAGCATTAAGAGCATCTCCAACCTAACAAGTAGATGCAACTCATACTGTACAAGCGGAGGTCTTTCAAGTGCCTCAAAGAGACTAGAGCCTCACTAGCTTTGCAAAAGCAACAGTGTGGGAGGAAACACGTCCGTAATCTCCAAACAGACAGACAAACTGTCACAGTTGCATCGCTCTCAGGCCTGCTCTGGATCTTACAAGCACACGAGTGAGTTTCAGCCTATTTCAGAAAGTCACCATACTAGTTCTGTCATAGCTCTGCTTATCAGTCTGGTTGTTGATGTCTACATCGCGTGTGGGAAACAGGACAACGTTTTTTGTCTATTTAATGAGAAAAATAATTGATAGAAAGGAAGTTTGAATCTGCAACCGACTGCTATCAAGTGTTCAGATGCAGGGTGATGGTAAGAACGGTTGTTCAGTGTCATGACAGTGAGCCAGGCAAAACAATACCAAGACCCTCAAACTGAAGCAGCTGAAAGCAATTCAGTCATTAATTAATTATCATTTACACCTGTGCTTTTCCTAATGTGAAATGACAAAATGTCTTTAGTGGAAAAAAAGCCTATTGTCAACAGAGCAGAGGTATTTGGAAAACATCATTGATGAAAAAAGTAACACCTACAAAGCACACATTTGTTTGATTTATAATGTTGACCCCTGACGGCGATCTGATCGGGATCCCAATGTTGTCCATTTAAATAACCGTGTAGTTTTGTGTTGTGATCAGGTTCAGTAATGTACTCACTTCAAATTCGGTCAACTAACTCCAGAACTGGTAACCGCAAAGAAAAAGATCAGTGAGAGAGATGGTGATGAACGTGGAGCCACATTTGTCAAAGTGGCCAACATGTTATGTTTTATACAGAGGACATGATTGGTTTCGGAGTGTCCTTGGAGAAGAAGGAAACAAACTGATTGAATGGTTTGGGTGTAACCATAGAAAGAGAGGAAAAGCACCGGCTGAGTCAGGAAGAAGGTGGAGTGAAGGGATTTTATTCAAAAGTTTGCAGCAGTAATACGAATGTGTGTGTGTGTGTGGGGGGGGGCCTTCCAGGTTGAATGTCCCCTTTAATATCAGTTGTGTTGTTCATCTGTCAGAGTGACTGCTGTCGACTCTAACTCAGCCTCGTGATTAAATAAACAACTGCATCTTTTGCCTCTACGCTGAGACTCCACGGGGGATTTGACTCTTTTCAACACACTAACACCCGAGCTGAGATGTGTTGCAGTCGAGTCTCGTTTTCACCTCCGTATCCCCCGTCTTGAAAGATGTACGATGCATCGCGCAGAGGGAAATGAGGCTGTGCAGATGGGTTCACACGGGCACCGCCAACACCTGACAGATACAACCGCCTGTTAATTTTTTTTTTGTTGATCCCACAGAATGTCTCATAAATCACTAACTGGTGCAGCTGTCAGCAGGAACCACAGAGATCAATATGCAGACATACCCATGAAAATCCTCCCCAAGTAGCTCTTCATTCGCACCGCACTTATCCAAGAATTCAGCGCGAGTGTGCCGGGTTTGTTTTTCTCTGAACACATGCGATTTAGCAACAGCAGTGGCTGGACTTCAGTACATTTTCCCATTTCCTGTCGGAGTATGCTGAACCACTATCTCTCTTCTCTGTCTATTCTGAATCAGTGGAGCATCACACACACACACACACACACACACACACACACACAGCCTTTGAAGGCCATCACTGTGATGAAAATTGAAAAAACGTGCAACCATAATCCAGCCGCTGCAGAAGGTCAAACTAATTTATTTGATGTAGTCATTTTGTCCATTTTTCTGAGGATCAATGAGCTATTGTCTGGATGTGATTATGATAAAACTGACAGTAGAAATCCAGGGTCACATGCTGATGTGCAGGGATTTTAGACTCAGAAAGTGAAAAGGTTCATGATTCCTACAACAATATTGAAGTAATTTAATCATTTTCAATCACTGGCTTGGGTTAATAGTTGACAATAATCTTTAGATACAGTTTTGCATCAGATCATATTTTTGGCTATTTTTGTTTTGCACCGTGCAGGATTCTGGCGTTACACAGCATATTTTTTACTGCATATTCCAGTGAAGAGAACTGCAACTGGAGCTTGAGACTATGTGTCATTGACTCATCTCATTGGCAGACAACACTGCCACATTACCTCCAGATCCTGCGGTGGCCCACGTAACCAGAGCGGTCTGAGCCAGATTGTTGACGACAAGGCTGTAAGTGCTGCAAGCCAGATGGAGACTGCGAGGTCTTCAGGGAAATCAGTGCCAGATCGCTTGGAGATGGGCAAAATTGGCCTATTAGTTAGAGAGAGGACTGTGTGGTGGACGACACATGACTGAAGAGAGAGAGAAGGGGGAGGCATACTAGAGCATAAATGGGAAGCAGCCTGTTGCAGGTCTCTCTGACTCATCAATGCTCTTTATTGGTGTGTTTGCACTTTTGACTATAGGATTTGTAATCTGATGTCCCTCAACCTGAGCCAGTAAGTGGACCTTGAGTTTTGATTGTTTGGTCTAAAGTTATTTCTTCAGTTTGACCGATGCACAGGTCAACTAAAAGTCATTTCTGTAAACTGATCACTTGTTGAAGATGTTCTCAGGGGTAGCCTATAGTAAAAAAAGAAAAAAATATTAGAATTACCCTTCAGCTCAATTTTCCTCCTTGAAAAAGATATCTAAGAATCTGAACATGCAAATATTGTTTATTTCCAAACTAACAAAACTGCTGAACACAAGATGTCCTCTTCGCTGAAGGTCTGCACATCACACTTGAATAAGTTGAATATAGGCCCTCTTCACAGCTGCCATTTTGACGTGTCATTGCAGAGTCAACAGGTGTAATTGATTATATTAATTATGTCCCTGTTAGGACCTGGTATTGTGCATGCTGGCACTCTGGAATGGGAGTGACCGACTACACAGAGTGGGACCATTAATTGTCACACCTGTGTTTACCCTACTATGACATGTCATATGGCAGCTGTGAAAAGGGCCTATTGGACCACAATTGGCCTCCAAACCAGTTGTATTGACACAAATCATACATCCACGTGTTTAACTCAGAGTTAAAGGCGAGCACAGATAAACGTCTTCCCTTCAGCAGATGAGTGTGAAAACAGGCCTTTGGCGTCAAACTCTGCACATGCATAATTCCACACAGTAAAGGTCAAATATCCAAGTGAAGTAGCACATTTTGAGTGTAGGGGGGACTTTAACTAGAATAATAAGAATAAGTTTGATGTAGAATAACAACAAACTCGCTGTATATCTGAGCAGAATCCATCGTTAATGTTCTGGAGGAGAAAAACAAACTCCACCTGAGCTTTCACTAGATGTCACTGTTATCCCATCCTTCGTTGAGACACAGACCACACTGATTTCTGAGTGTTGCCAAAAATAAATCCATCAAAATGAAATGCAAACCCATTTCTAAGTCAGCGGCTTGGTTTTAATGAGACTCACGCATAATAAGAATTGGGCAGTTTGATTATTTTGTTCTCAGTTCACTTGTTTATTCAGTCCAAGAAAAAAATCTAAATGGATGTTGGCACCACAGGTTTGGTTGCTGTTATCGTCCCATGTGTGGTAGGCTTATTTTTAGAATGTATGAATAAATAAATTACAGGACAACCTCGAAAGTGAGACTCCCTTTTAAATGGATTATATAGCCTCAAGCATTCATTTAAGAGACCACTATTTCAATCAAACTGTCGGGGAAATGGTCAGACTTTATTAGCCATGCACCCTTTACGCATATACAGTAAAGGACCTGGGCTGACCAATTTACACTGGTTTAGGAGCCCAGGATACTCTGACCTGGATCACAGCAGAGGGGCGTCACCGCACGTGGGCGTGGCTAACCGGAGCGAATAACGCTGTGTCCTCCGTTACGTTGCAGCAGAGTTGCCGTCTGACACGAGAGAGGAGCGGAGGGACTGAACAGCTGACCACCTCGCGCAAATTCGGAACTGCAAGTGATGGAAATCTCGGAGGTCGTTTTATTCACCTACCTCTTCACTCACTACTTCGGCACCATCCTCTTCATCTCGTGGCTTTACGTCAGCGGGACCCCCACTGACATCACCAACTATGGATTGCCTAATTGAAGTTGGGCCACCTGATCCTGTTTGCGCCAGGACAACCCAACGGAATTAGAGCAAGAGAGAAGTCGTTATGGTCAGTTGTGCAAATCGTTCATTTCCTGCTCAGAGAACTGGTGTCAAAAGCGGAATTTCAAAATCTCAGGAGATCCCATCTGTTTGCGCGTAAAGGACGTGGACATAACGGCTCCATTCAACGCTGCCCGAACTACTCTGCGCTATGTTTTAGTGATTATTGGAAAGAATCCGTAGTTTAGAATAGAGGGTGTTTTTGTGAGACGGTTTTGTTTCTGCCTGCTTTGAAGTGAGAGTGGCGGCCAGCTTTTATTGCGCGCATACCAATTGTGCGCTGCAGATTAGCCGCTCCGTTTCCACGGACGACCCACCGCAGCAGGACCTAAAATCATTGACAAGCAGCAAGCCTCACCAAACCACTGTGAAAAGGTTCCACTGAAAATCCTATTTGAACCCCTGTCATTTGAACTTTCATTACAACCGAGAGAGTTTTTAAAGCTGCAGTCAAGTGCGCCCGTGAGGCAGGAGTAAACCATGGCTTTACCAGATAGTTGCATATCTGGGGAGGAGGTACCCTTCCCAGAGATTATAGAGCTCAATGTTGGTGGCCAGGTGTACATAACCCGCTTTTCTACCCTCACAAGTGTGCCAGACTCCCTGCTATGGGAGATGTTCAGTAGAAAGTCAGCCAAAGGACTGGCCAGGGACACCAAGGGTCGCTTCTTTGTGGACCGTGATGGTTTCCTGTTCCGTTACATCCTGGACTACATGCGGGACCAGCAGCTGGTTCTCCCAGACCACTTCCCCGAGCGCGGGCGACTGCAAAGGGAGGCTGAGTTCTTCAACCTGCCAGAGCTTGTCAAGCTACTGGCGCCCAAAATGAGCAAGCAGAACTCCCTCGGCGAGGAGGGATGTCAGAGCGACCCAGAGGACTCCTCACCCGGGATTGACACGCCCCGTAACCTCGGCTCCCTGGGCGCTGCAGCCGCTGCCTGTGCCAGCCTGGTGCCCAGTGCCATGGACAGCAAGCGGTCTGGGTTCATCACCATTGGCTACCGAGGCTCATACACCCTGGGTCGTGACAGCCAAACCGATGCCAAATTCCGCCGTGTGGCACGGATCATGGTGTGTGGGAAGACCTCTCTGGCCAAAGAGGTGTTTGGGGAGACCCTGAACGAGAGCCGTGACCCAGACCGCCCCCCTGAGCGCTACACGTCCCGCTACTATCTCAAGTTCACCTTTCTGGAGCAGGCTTTTGACAAGCTGGCTGACGCAGGCTTCCACATGGTGGCCTGTAATTCCACAGGGACCTGCGCCTTTGCCCATGAGCAGACGGACGACAAGATCTGGACCAGCTACACTGAATATGTGTTCTACCGTGAGTGAGACTATCGGCTTTGTTCCCCTGGTCCCCCACCCTGTCTCCAAGTGCCCCCCTCCCCTCCTCCTCCAGCCTCCAGCCATCCTGTCTTCTCTCTGATGGCTCCTGCACCAGTAGATGTACCGTAGATGTTGTGCCCCTCCATCTCTCTCTGCAGCCTCTCCAGCTTTTATCCAATGAACAGTACCCAGCAGCTCTGACTCTTCATACCTTCTCTGCAGGTTCGAATCTGTAGCCCCTGCCCCCTCTCGACTCCAGATCCTTTCCCCCCCTCATCCTCAGGTCCAGCTTTTGCCCTTGCTTAAACCGCCGCTCCATCTAGTTGTAGTTCCCGGTCCTCGACCGCAGCAACCCCACAGCCTTTCCTGCAGAGACTGATACCTTCTATGTACTTTTCCCCTTTTGTACTCTATATATTGCATCTGCCTTGGTGAAGCACAATACTGTATCCAAGAGCTAATTTTGTTAAATAAGCACCCCGGTGTGTCTACATGACTATTAAAGCAGTCATGAGGGCATAAGTTAAAGGGCTTTATAGAGTGGCCGTGATGTTCAGTGCTATACTTTGCCTGCTCACCGGAGCAGATCGGACTCTCTCTCCTGCTCCTCTGAACTAAATGATCAAATAATTGGACATCTTATCAGCCTTGAGGGACGCGAGCAGCCCAAGCACAAGAAAGAAGTGTAACACAAAAATCTAATTTCCCTCAGTTTTTATTAAATGTGTCCACTACCATGCGGTTGTGAACGTGTGCCATACAGTAGTTTCTACAGTACAGTAGTAATCTGTTCAGCTGTTGTTGTGAGTGAATGAGGTTTATGATAACACAGCCACATGGACAGGGAGAGAAATGCATTGAGCTTTTTTTTGTTGAACGAGATAAGTAGATTGTAGGTGTGTGGAGTTTTCCTTTTCAAAAATACACTGATTGTGGGGCAGATGAACAAGCCGCAGGCTTTGATACACAACCATGGAATCTCAAATGTCACAAGATGTCGCGGATAAAAAGAAAGAAAGAGAGAAAAAAAAAAGAGGTTGCTGGATGAGGTGTGTGTGTGTGTGTATTGATTGTGCAATAGCGCTTTCAGTATTTTAATAACTCTCGATGGGAGGGCCAGGCAGATGTTGTTACATCACTCACAGCCCACTGCTCTATTTCTTTCGCTCATTGTGCTTCTTTGACATTTCTTTGCTCAATTAAATATTTAAGAGCATTTTCATAGCGAAGAGCTTCTCGAGACAGGCTTACACCATGACTACATGTTGTTTCCCCTCGTCCAAAAAAAATGTGGTAGTCACCTTAGCGGATCACGTTTTGAGTGTTCTGTAAACAATAATGTTATTCTTAATACTCAGTTCGGTATTAGTTTAAGCTGTTGCATATTTGATGATAGTGAATACCCACAAGAAAGGGTAGGATTACGCTGTAGCCAGCCATGCCCAATGTTTCTTTACTACTGTAGCAAGGGCACTGTGAGGGCAGTTTATGGTAAGCAGGTATGACTTCAGTTTTAAAGGAGCGAGTTATGATAGACGGTCGTTTCCAGATACAGCCTCAGAACAGGCCTGCACATCATATAGCCTACCTCAGACTAAAATACAAACTGAAGGCACATAAGATCCAGCTGAGGACGTGAAATTGCAGACAGTCAGTGAAATATCCCAAACGTAGACGCTGTAACAAGATTATGAAGAAGAGGTGGAATTAGAGAAACAGCCGTCGAGGCAGCATTGTGCAGGGTTTCTCCTAAACTGTCAGGTTGTTGTCCTGGCAGGATGTCTGACAGTGACGATAAATGTATTCTAAAATGTCTTGAAACGGCAATGTTGTGTTTCAGTGTGATGAAGTGCTGTTGACATCTGAGTCAATATGTTAGACCTGCTGCAGTGTGTCGCTGCAGCCGTAGACCACTGAAATTAAAAGTGTTCAGCGAAAAAGCAAAATTGATTTGTCAAATAAAAGATGTTTTCTTTCTATTCGGGTTGTATTTTCCATTCATGACTAAATGTTTTCTCTCAGTATTGAATGACATTTCGTACAAACCAAGGAAGAAAGTGGCACATGTCTTCATCATGCTGCAGTTTACATTTTCAATCAGCAACAATACAACTCAATCACAAGTAAACCAATTTCAATTTAAATCTCACCATTCCCTATTCAAGGGAATGTCCTTGGACACAAACTCTGCTTATATTAAATGTTCAACACTCACCCTCAGGCACCATCTCTCTCTCTCCCTCTCCCTCCCATCTGCTTTCCCACTTCTACATTTTGTTCCTCTTTTTTCCCCCCTCAGCCTAGTCTTATATTTTTCCAGAAGTTGACCAGAAAGACAGAGCTAGAATATAAATGAGGACATGCATATGATAGCAGCTTATTTTTAAAGCAGCTTACAAAACACTTATTGTGTTGCCAGTAATTGACCCAATTACTATATACAGTAAAACAAATCTTGTGAAATACAGTAGTTGTCAAGGCTTCGTAAAATGTGCTTGGTTTATGTCTGTTGCCATTGATTAAAAACTGCATTTTTATCAACAGACACAAAGGTGGGCGTCATTTTCACTTGAACAACAACCAGGGTTATGTTTATGTAGGTGAGGCATTCTTATGAAAGTTTTCTACCAAGGGATTATCACATGCTAATTAGCTTAGTATGAGACCTCTAAACCTGATCTCAGTCTGCCCTAGATAAAAGCAGAGCAGATAAGCTTCACAAAAACAGTTGAAAGATTTATGTGGCTTCCCTCCTGGAAAAACAGATGATTTTTTTGTTGCGGTCTGGAATGCATGACGAATCCTCGGAGACAATCCCGCGGGTGCAGTGTCTCTTCAATCCAAACAAACACGGTCACAGACAAAGTTCCTCAGTCACTGTCCTCCCAGCACACCGATGCAACTCGGGAGCACAAAGGTCAGTCATTAGCACGAGCACGGAGAGACACGCCTCATGTGTGAAATTTCAGCCATCGGTGTCCTAAACCGCTCTCACTCTTTACCTCCATGAGTCGCCGGAAGACTCGACATTCACAGTAGATGTGTGACAAACGGCAGCGAGCTCCACGGGCCTGTGATGAAATGCTGCTGCGGTTTTTTCCTTTTTCTTTTCTCATTTTTTTTTATAGCTCTGTTGTGAAACTTGTGGCTGAAAAGTGTTGCCCGCTTCGTGTGCCAAACAAGAAGCAGGTTCTAGTTGTGTCACCAGTGGTGTCCCTGTTCCATCCAGAGTCTTACAATAAAGATATTTTACCATGACATTTTGCTCCTCTTATCTTTTGGAGAAAAAAAATCCAAATAGCAGATTGCATTACTTGCTCAGCACACAGCACACAACCAACTTAATTGAATCCGTTCTTTCGTTTTATTTATACTTTTGTGTTCCTACCACAAGGTTTGAAGTTAATATTTCTCAGTGAGCTTGTGCAATACATTATTAAACTCTTGCCATGAAAGTGCAAGGCAAAAAAGAAATGCGCCCTGAGAGTACAAGGCTATTCTCTCTACCTTGAGGCAGTGATTTGACCCATGTCGTGTTCCTGTGGTGCTATTGTCACTCTACACGGCACGCCTTGGCTCGGTCTGCTTTTCTTCTCTTGGAATGATCCTCTTGCCACATAGCCAGCTGGGTCATCACTTCGCCTTCTTTGGAAAAAGAAAAGAGGGGAGCAGAGGAGAACGGATGTACGTCAAAGGAATAATGGGATCGGAAAAATGGGGCAAGGAAGCAGAGAGACAGTGAGACAGATAACAAGGTAGAAGTTAGATGAGAGTTGGGGAGTATTTAACCGGGAAGGATTTGGTGTTCCCACCTTATCTGTCTTCCTGAGCAGCATGACACGTCCTGTTATTCAGAGAGGTACTGGACCATCCTGACAAACAAAGCCTTCACTGGGCCGTGCTGTAATGTGTTCCTCTGTGGCCGGTGTGCTCTGTCAACACTCACGGAGAGATTTAGTGAAACCAGACAGATACAGATCCATAGGATTACTCAGTGTGTTTGGGATTAATACTGAGTATAATTACATCAAAAGAAAAGTGGGGAAATTTATATTTTCCAACAGAAAAAAAAAATGCATCCTCATATTATTTAGGTGAATCACGAGTTGTGCCTTTAAATTGACTAAAAACAGCCCAGGTTCCCGGACTGGATCCTCTTTTAAGAATAAATAGTATGAGTTAGAGTGACAGCACAGAGCGCCACAATGAGTCATTTTCTTAACATCTTAGACTGGGTGTACTATCAAATGCTGCTGTTTCTGTTCATTCAGCTGCAACCATCTGTGGCTCTGCGCTTGTCTGTGTCTTCTCTGGCCCGATTCCTTGTTGACTTTCGGATCCGTGAGTTAGTATATTTTGGCTCTGGCTTTTCTCTTTGTGCTGGTGTTTGTGCTTACGTGGATTTTTGGCTTGGGTGAGTGTTGTGAGCGTTGGGTTGGTCAGAGTTGGGTTGGTATAGGGGGCAAGCGGGGGCAATGAACTAGGTGCACTCTCTGTCTCGCAAATATGCTGAGCAGGCAGCAGGCCTCTCTAAACACAGACATACACACGCACAGAGGGAGGGAAGTTGCTAGGAGATGTGCACCAGCCCTCCTGCGCGAGGCTAATGACTCGGAGCTGTGAGGTTTTAGATCTAATTGGCTGCCTTCTTTTCACTCTTCTTTGTGATCAGTTAAAATGGCATTAGCAGGCAAACAAGTCTTTTGCATCCCTCACGCTCTCTCGACAGCAATAAACAGGAGAAGTCCACGCTTGTGTGGAAAAGCATCATTGCTGCTAATTACCTGGGAGTAGCATCGGCCAATAAGAGCATGTAATGGCTAACTGGAGAGAGCATGCAGCAGCCTCAGGGCCTCAGCTTTCTCCATCACTATGTGACATAATGTGTGTGTGTGTGTGTGCATGTTACGTGCGAAAGTAAGCAGAGAGCTTTGCATGCTTTTTGTTCATTTACATGTACACAAATCGAGCACTACTGTGTTTGTATTTGTCCTTGACAACAACACGGTTCACCCACGATGCCATGTAAGCCCACATGCACAGAGTACAGTAGAGCTGGCTCAGGGCATCTTTATCTCATTGTGTGTTGGGTTATTTATAGTGAGCCAGCCATGGAGTCAGATGTGTACCGTCACTGCACCGCTCTATCCTCCAGCACGGGCACACATGCTGCGCCACCCCTCCTCATCCACCTCTTCACACGTCTCCTGCGTGAGAAGCTATCACTAAACATATTGGCCCACAAACTCCATCATGCAAGATCAGGGGGTGGCCATACCCAAGGGGGGAGACGGAGCTGCGAGCGTACAAGGGACACGACCTAGCAGCAGAAAAGGAGCAGATCAGGTTACTAGTAATTTACAGTATTGTGTCTCTGCATCTGTAACTCTATCTGTCTCTCTCCATGTAGCCTCTTTATTATTCTCTTTGACCTTACAATCTTTTCTTTTCTCTTTTAAGCTCCAAGACACAGAAAGAATAAGTGACAGAGGAAAGCATGAGGGATGTGTGGAAATACAAAGTAGCAGCAGGATGGGAATGAGGGAGCATGAAATTAGTTGAAGTGGCAGAGTTCCTCAGACAGTACCATAGAGACCGTATATTTGGGAGGAAGAGCTAAAAGAGAGAGTCAGGAGCAGTTTAAAGGGAAAAGAGGGTAAGAGGAGAGAGAAAAAGAGAAATGCCAAATTGGGCAAAGTGAGGTGGAAGTTGTGGCAATAACTGACTTATGAAACAGACAGTTGAACTTCCTGAGCTAAACTCATAGAAATAAAAGTGCTTACTACCATAAAGGGTTCTTCTGCTTGTCCCCAAATTAACCCTTTTTGGTTCCCAATAGAGCCCATTGTAAAGGTTCCGCAATCCTTCTAAGGTTCCACAACTTTTCCACCCTCTAAGGGTGCTGTCAAGAACCTACTGAAGGCGTTCTACAAAGAACCCTTTTATATTCCAAGGGTTTCATTTAAAATCCATCCACGGGGTTCTACCGAGAACCGCTTTATTCACCAGGGGATTCATCTAGGTCGGGGTGCCCTAAAGCCACAGCCTCCATGTGAAGCGACCATAGACTGTATCTAATAATTTGGTGGGAAGGCTGAGGATAGAACCTCTAGAGTGGAACCATTACACCTTAGAAGGATTGCGCAATCTTGTTTTTTTTGCAGAAGTGACACAAGAGGGTGAAGCTAAACACAGCCAAACGCCATCAAGACATTTTTAGGCAACTAAAATGTTACAATTAACTGAAAACACACTGTGAAAGGGTTAAAGTTATAAGACGAAAACACGAACAACTACCACACCAGACAACCTCATGGTAGCGACCTGTCAATCACAAGGTAGCCACGCCCTAAAGCATAACCTGCTTTATCGTCTATTAGACTCTAAATGGCATATTTTACTAAATGAACATCATGCTGTGTTGAAGAAGACTTGAAACTAGAGATTGAAACCATAAACTTATGTTTACTGAGGTAATACATCACGTGAGAAGTAGAATCATTTTCTCATAGACATCAATACAATCAGCCATCTTTTTTTGCAGCCAGAGGAGGCTATTAGAAATAAAGCAAGGTTTAAGGCCCCTCGGCTTAACTTTGCAGGCCTGGAGGTTGCTGCCTGGAAGCGACACATCCGTAAAAGTCAAAAAGCTCAGTGTAAAGTAGAGATGCACTGATGAGGTCCTGCTAAAACAGATTGTGATGCAAATTATATGTTGTAAGGGGAATGTAAATTATGAATTACTTGTTTTATGCTGTTGTTGAAGGGTCGCTATTTTACCCCCTCTAACAGTTTTTACTAATATATTTTGATGTTGTTTTAATCTATTTAAACAGATCCTATGTTTTGGTAATAAGTGTTAGTTCACCAGGATTTGTGCCCTGTATGTTCATATGTATAAATATATTTAGCCTTAGATCTTGGCGCTTTTATGTATTTGTGCCCACGGCCTATTGTCTCATTATCCGTTTATAGCTTA